TTTTTGGATCTTTGGTAGTTTTACTGAGTATCAAAGATATTATTGAATTAGTATCTGTACTCTTTACTCCACTACATTTGTAATGAGTGTTGCAGTTACACATTACATTTTGCATGGCATCTAGCTTTTTCTACAGCAGTTTATTTCTGTGATGCACTGAAAGCACTATATCTTGTGGGTTTTGCTCTTACTCACACAAACGTGTCAACAAGGCTGCTTTATGTGAATGTGAGTTCCTGCAAGTATTTGTGAATCACAGGTGTTTTATCTCTGAGATGAGGCCCAAACCAGCGCATCCATTCACTTTTTAATTTTACTTAACTTTATTTTATTTAACTGTTACACTGTAGAGACCTTCTTGAAATATATTGTTTAAAATTTTTTTTTTTGTCTATGTTTGTTGTAGTTTTTCTATTAAACACCTGTGCATAGATCCTGGTCTCTGCCGGTTTTCCGCAGCTTCTCCACAACGTTACAGTTTTCCACTGGTGTGTCTCTTTGACTAGTGCATCTTTGAGCCTATATTTAGTATAAGTAAAATACTTACGTACTGTTAAAATCAGATACTTTAAGACTTGTTACTTGTAATGAGTATTTTTCACTCTGTACTTTTACACAAATATGGTTTCAGGTATTCTTTACACCTCTGGTATATCAGTTCAAGAGTTGCTACACACTCTGATTTACTGTATAAAACCACGTGCAACATGATAGGGAACTTCTACAATAGGACTGCAATAAGGAACTTTAATACTCTGATTTGTATTTTCAAATAATGCCTGTTTCCAGGACTTAGGCTTTCAAGGTTTCAGAATTGTGTGACACATCGCTTACCTCAACGCACAGGCTGCAGAAACGCATTATGGAAATGTTTCATGTTTGGAAATGTTTCGTGTTTCACATGTTTGTGGTTTTATTTATAAGATCTTAATGCAGTTAGTCAGGAAATCGTGTACATTGCACGGCATTGATGTGAAACCATTTTCTGTTTTTCTGAAACTGTGAGAAAAGATTGGAAATCATTGTATCTACACAGTTGTGTTTGAAGAGGTTTAGCATGGCTAATGATCAGGTTTTACAAACACTGGGATTTCTTAGTTTTACTGTTGTTTATTTGATCATCAAACACATTTAACATTGAAGACATTTTTAATCAATGTTTATGTGCCATGAAACAGATGCAACTGATATTTTCTCTTGAACTCAGCTTCTATGTACAAAGTTATGCTGTAAATATACAGTCTAATGGGATTCAATGTTTGCTGTTCTTTTTGAGCTCATTCTCTATTAAAACTGCAGTTTCATAAAACATGCTACTTTAAGTTTGAATATTGATCATACACGTTAAATTAATAAATGCTGCATTAAAGAAAGTGACAGTAACAGCACAAACCTGAATTATAATCACAACCATTAATGATGATTTATTTTTTTCATTTACATTTTATTTATAGGTGCCTTACATGACACTCAAGGACACCTCACAATGAAACAATCAACATTAAACAAGAATAATCATTATTACAGCCTGGACAGACCTAATACAAGTATACAAGCAATCGCATAAAAGCCTGCCTAAAAGATGGGTCTTAAGCTGAGAATTAAAAACAATAAGTTTTTCACTATTTTGCATATCCTGTGGTATCGAGTCATGTGGCTGCATGACTAAAAGCTCGAGACATTATAGAAGTTGTGCGAATTCGAGGGAGAACAATAGCGAGTACAGAAGATGATCTTAGAGTGCGAGTAGGAGTGTAGATATGAAGAAGATCAGATAAGTATGAAGGAGCAAGATTATTGAGTTCCTTGTAAGCGAGAAGAAAGATTTTAAAGTCGATACTGTATTTAACTGGGAGCCAATGCAAGTGTTGTAACATGGGAGTAATGTGCTCAGTTATAGGAGTTCTGCAAATAATTTGTGCAGCTGAATTCTGTACTAACTGAAGTTTATATAGAAGCTTTGAAGGCAAATCATAAAAAAGAGCATTACAATAATCAATACCGGAAGTGACTAAAGCATGAACAAGAACTATGCTCTTTACCAAAAGAGTCGGATGAAGTCGATTAATATTACATATATGGGAATATTCAGAGCGAATGACACTGTTTATATGTGTTTCGAATGATAAAGTACCATCAAAGATGACACCCAAACGTTTAACCTGTTTAGACACAGACATTGGAAAAATATCAATATTTACTGAGGAACATTTAGCCTTGGCCAGATTGTTTTTTTGAGCCAACAGGAAGAATTTCATGAATCAGCAGCTGCCAGTAAGTCATATGAAATCTTAACTACTGCAGTTTCAACACTGTGACGTGAACGGAAGACAGATGGAAATTCCTTGTACAGACTATTATCAGAAAGATGTTCTTAGATCCGCATGGGCTACAACAATCATTTCCAGTATTTTAGAAAGAAATCTTAAAATAGATAAGAAATGGGTTGAAAATGATCAAAAATACTTGAATCAGCCCCCGGTTTCTTAGGTATAGAAGTTATCACAGCTGTTTTTAGTGGATACGGAACAAGACTAGAAACAAGCAAAGCGTGTATAATATCGGTAATTAAAGAAGAGAGAGAAAGTAAACAGACTTGAACCAAATACATTGGAATAGGATTTAAGTGACAAGATTTTTGAATAAAACAGACTACTTCCTGCATGCTCGGAAGTTTAAAAGCAGAAAGAGTAGAAATTAGAGGTTGGCCAGAACAAATGTTGAAAGCACAACAATCTTAATTTGATGCAGCTGATCCATATTTTCAATATTTCTAAAAAAAAAAAAATAAATAAATACATAAAAGCTTCACAAAGATCAACAGAGTACAAATCACAGGGAAAAGAATCTGGTGGCTTTAATATACCACAGTGAAAAAGGGTTCTTGTGTTCCCTTCCTCAGACTTAATTAAACTAAGTACCACAAGTCCAGTCCTGACATACAAATGCTCCAGACGACGGCCCTTGACTTTTAACAGTGAAGCACAGAGCAGAATTTATGAACAAAACAGTCCTAGTTTTCAGTGGAGCGTGAACATCTCAAATCGTTTGGAGTGCAGAATTGTAATGCTGTAATTGCCCTGGTGCCTCAGGGCTCAGTTCTTGGACCACTTCTCTTCTCTGTCTACATGGCATCATAAGGTTCTGTCATTCAGAAACATGGCTTTTCATATCACTGCTATGCTGATGACACCCAACTCTACCTCTCATTCCATCCTGATGATCCGACGATAGCTGCTCGCATCTCAGCATGTCTAACAGACATTCCTTGCTGGATGAAGGACCATCACTTTCAACTCAACCTTGCCAAGACAGAACTGCTTGTGGTCCTAGCAAACTCATAATTTCATCAAAATTTCACCATCCAGTTAGGCTCATCAACCATAACTCCTTCAAAAACAGCCAGAAACCTTGAAGTTATGATTGATGATCAGCTGACTTTCTCAGACCACATTGCTAAAACTGTCCGTTCCTGCAGATTTGCTTTATTCAACATTAGGAAGATCAGGCCCTTTCTTTCAGAACATGCAACACAACTCCTTGTTCAAGCTCTTGTTCTGTCCAGGCTGGACTATTGCAATGCTCTCTTGGCAGGTCTTCCAGCCACTTCTATCACACCTCTACAATTAATACAGAACGAGGCAGCAAGATTAATCTTTAATGAGCTGAAAAGAATACACGTCACACCTCTGTTTGACGGACCATCACCTTCAACTGAACTGCTTGTGGTTTCAACAAACCCATCACTTTATCAAAATTTCACCATCCAGTTATGCTCATCAACCATAACTCCTTCAAAAACAGCTAGAAACCTTGGAGTTATGATTGATGATCAGCTGACTTTCTCAGACCACATTGCTAAAACTGTCCGTTCCTGCAGATTTGCTTTATTCAACATTAGGAAGATCAGGCCCTTTCTTTCAGAACATGCAACACAACTCCTTGTTCAAGCTCTTGTTCTGTCCAGGCTGGACTATTGCAATGCTCTCTTGGCAGGTCTTCCAGCCAGTTCTATCAAACCTCTACAATTAATACAGAACGAGGCAGCAAGATTAATCTTTAATGAGCTGAAAAGAATACACGTCACACCTCTGTTCATCAATTTGCACTGGCTACCAGTAGCTGCTCGCATAAAATTCAAGGCATTAATGTTTGCCTACAAAACCACCACTGGCTCTGCACCCCTTTACCTAAATTAATTACTTCAGACTTATGGGCCTTTAGAAGCTTGCGTTCTGCAAGTGAACGTTGCTTTATTGTTCCATCCCAAAGTAGCACAAAATCACTTTCACGGACTTTCAAATTAAATGTTCCCTCCTGGTGGAATGACCTGCCCAACTCAGTCCTTAGCTATCTTCATCTTTATTTGAGCCTCTTACTCTAGCACTCTCTATTCTAATTATATTCTTTAAAAAAGTGTCCCTTTTAGACTTGGATTCTATTAATTTCTATTCCCCCTAATATTTCTAAATTTCTATTTCTTTTTATTTAATATATAATGGTAGCACAAAATCACTTTCACGGACTTTCAAATTAAATGTTCCCTCCTGGTGGAATGACCTGCCCAACTCAGTCCTTAGCTATCTTCATCTTTATTTGAGCCTCTTACTCTAGCACTCTCTATTCTAATTATATTCTTTAAAAAAGTGTCCCTTTTAGACTTGGATTCTATTAATTTCTATTCCCCCTAATATTTCTAAATTTCTATTTCTTTTTATTTATTATATAATGTAAAAAACCCTTGCTAAGTGTACTGCTTTAAGCTAACTGAGACTTGTTATAGCACTTGTATATCATTGCTCTTTTGTTGATTTTGATTGCTTCCATTGTCATTTGTAAGTCGCTTTGGATAAAAGTGTCTGCTAAATGACTAAATGTAAATGCAATGCAAAACCATTTCATCTGCAGTTGAAAAATGGCCATTGGTAGAAAAAAACGTCTTTCAGCAAAAACTGAGACAATGTTTTTTATTTTCCAAAACGACATAGATTGAGCACAGGTTGAATACAGGTAACTGAGCATTAAAGGACACCAGCATATGATTTGACAAAGACACATCGGAAATTATGATGTGCAATTATAAGGAACTACACCTGAACAACACATAAGATCCATGCAGCGTATGACCCTTTAAATGGGTAGGAAAATTTATAAATTGTTTTAAACCAAAGCTGTTTGATACACTATCTGCATTATCAATACGAATATTAAAATCCCTAAGCAAGATCACATTAGGAGACAATGAACAAAGATAGGTTAAAAAGACAGAAAAACAGAATTATTAAGATTTAGTTTTCACTGGTGCTGAAAAAGGTGACATTTGCAACATCTCAGCTTTTCTAAAGTGAAAGATCTGGCCAGCAGGAGAAAACATCTGAGCCAGGGATATATTGTGACTTTAAAATAAAGCACATAAATGTGTCACTTAGGTAATTTTTGATCAGCCAGACCAGCTGCGCTCCATCCTTTCTGCCAACCGCGATAGTGAAGGATTCCTCCTGCAATGACTGTAGCCAGAAAAAACACAAACGCAGCCAGAGCAATGCCACCGAACATCAGCACACGCTCCGTCAGCGTCACCTCATCTACAGAAAAACAGACAGAAGAATTACTCATGTTTGTACAGGTCTTAGAATTAGTGCTGGATCTCCACAGTAGAGTAGTAACACCATTAAAAGGAACTAAACAAACAACATAACGCTCAACATGTTACCTGTGTTGTCAGCTTCTTTTGGCAGTTCTGTTACAAAAAGAAATGTAAATATATATCACTTTATTACAAACACAGTAAGCAATCAAAACACAGGGCTTCTGCGGGTCTTAAAAAGTTTTAATTCAGCCTTCCACAAATTAAGACAACTTAAAAAATTTTAATTGGAGTACAAATTCTTAAATTCATAAAGTCGTGGCATTAAATGTTGCATGCACTTAAAAAAGAGAGAATATTTATGTCAGTATTTTTGTATTGTTTTCCAATCTCAACATCAAGATACATTTACTAGCAAGTTAGTTTAAGTATTTGCTATTGACCGTTCAAATGCGGAGCTTTGCGCAGCGCAGAATAACGCGTTGTGTGTGTGTGTGTGTGTGAGGGGAACAGAGTCACATCACAGGAGAGTGAACTGTCTTGTCAGAAATCATAGCACGTCAGCTGTCTTAACCGCGGCTTGTGTACTGCATCATCACTGTGTCTGTCACGCGACTCTGTTGCTCTTTCAGGCTTGAACTGATGGTAAAACTAACCACATTATTAACCGTCTTGATATTTACTTTGAAAGCTGAAGCTCACGATTATGGTAAGGGGCGTTACATTTCCGACGCATGCTTGTGGTGTTCGGCCAATCACAATGCACTGGGTCAGCTGGCCAATCAGAGCAGACTGCGCTTTTCAAAGGAGGGGGCTTTGTTGCAAACGAAGCGTTTGAGAGAGGCGGGGCATAGAGGACCTACAATAATGTACAGTATTTGAAAAAAAAATGTTTTTTGAACATTAAAGCATGTCAACATATTCTGTTACACCAAATACACCAAATAATGATCTTTAAAATAGCATCATATGACCCCTTTAAAGCAAGACAAAAATATATGCCAGTGGGGAATGAAAACCTAAGTGGATTTTTCCGAGCTGATTGGCAGATTTTTTAAATAATAGGCTCGCTTCATTTTGATAATTTTTCAGAAAACAAGACTTCTTATCATTATGTAATTTAATCTTGATTAAAGAGCTTTTTGACATTTGCACTGGAAAACAAGACAAAAATACTGAAGATGCTTTTTTGCCGTATGATCAGAAAGTACAGTAAAAGTTATTCCCATATTCTAGTTAAGATATTTTTGTAAAATTAATGAAAAAGTAACGGAGATTGGTTGGAATTTGGATTTTCAAACTTTGAATTTACTTAAAATTTGATTTGACATTGTTTCCGTTCATTTAAATAAAATTTACTTTCTAAAACTTGCAGAAACCCTAAAAACAATATAAGTGCTACAGAAAAGTGAGGTGAGATGGACATTTAAGTTGTCAGAAATATGACTTCTCAAACTAAATTTTATCAGTTGTGGGTTAGTTAAGCAATGTCAAATAGTAAGTTGAGATTTCTTGACAAGTTGTGAAATGACTGACATGTATTACACCCAGTGCTGGTTACATAACTTTCAAATTGTAGTCTGTGATTCAGATTACATGATGGAAATTGCAGTTAGCAACGTAATTACTCATTTTAGGTAATGTATTCTGATTACTTTTTAGATCAATTTTAACCTTGTTTACTACTTTTGCCTTATTACCTTTTAACTTGTTTTAAACTAACAATTAAAAGTTCCATATTGATATAAAACAGCAAAAAAAATGATATCTACATCATGAAGTGCATTAATTATTACGCCAGGGTTTCCCTAACAGGGGTTAATGTAAGAACTACAGTGGGTTTGTGAGTTGATAAAAAGCTAATAATTAATTCAATCATAAAAATGTAAAATTAAAATACATTATTTTAAACAAAAACAATGTAACACTAAAAAGAGACATATTTAATTTGTTTACCTGCATGTCAAAAGTTTACTGAGGGTCATGATGAAGATATACTATACTGTGCATCACCAGTGTTTAGTCACATGCATAATTGTTTCATGGTCTAATTGCTTGAGAGGTGCTTTATTCACCAAAATTCAGAAGCATGAATCACAAAATTATTTACATGTCATTTAAATGGCTAGTATATATTGTGAATATACTAAATGCTGCTCTCAATCACAAGCAGCAACATCCATATATCCCAAACTAAAAAATAATGTACAAATCTCATCTTCCCCATTCCTCCCTTCACTGATAAATTAATGAAGGTGTAATTGTAAGTCGAAGTGAAATCTGTTACCGGTACTCCGATCCTCTGCATGCTGACCCTCGATCTCTAGTCTGGTGGGTTTGTCGAAGAGCATCTCTGTCGTGTTAGACCTTGTTCCACAGAAATAAAAGCCTGAATCTGACTCTGTTACTCTAGAAACCTCTAGCGTGGCTCTGGTGATCCATGTGTCTGCAGTGATTTTCAGACGAGTAAAGTTTTGATTGTAGGTGGTCAGAAATTTTCTCCCTGTTATGTCTGTCTGTGCAGAAATCATAAGTTTGAATCGGCTAGCTCTGAGGTGATACCAGGCGACTTCATATCGGTTTCTCATGCTGCAGTTCAGAATGATGCTTTCTCCTTTCTGAACTCTCAGCAGATCAGAAGATCCTTGTAGTGATGCATCTGAAGAGACATTGATAATAATTACTATATTGGTTAAAAATAATAATTACATTTATGTTTAAAATAATTATAATTATTAAATAATTATAAGTTTGAAAATTTACCACTGAAAGTGATTTGCATATTTCCAAACCAAAGTACACAGAAGAAAACAATATTTTTCATGTCTTGTCAGGTTTCTGCATGAAGTGCAAAGCCTTAAACCACTATTCATTTCCTGCTATATAAACTGCTTTTCACTTCCTTGGTAATAGCTTCCACCTGCTGCTTTTCCGGCTTGGGCTGTGAAAACATCTTTATGCAACACCATTGTCAGTCGTGGTTTGCATGAGATAATGCACTACCTGTAAATTCATTTGTAGCTGCACAAAGAATTTTCCATGCGCATAAACAGCTACAGTACACACTGACAGCCATGTATCGTTCTCGCATCCCAATTTGGTTTATTTCAGTTCACAAAATCCAGGATAATGTGCCATTCATACACAAGTCAGAATTCAATATTCACATATTGACCTTAAAATTGTTGGATTGAGTTGCTTTACCAGATCCCGTCAGAGGATTCATTACTGATCTACTATTTCTTCTTCTGAGACTAAATTTAGTCAGTATGTCCTCCTAGAGTTTTCAAGCTACAAGCACCAAACCTGGCTCAGACCTGCAGGCTGGTCTGACTCTGGTTGCTGTATTTTTTTCTCACTGATCTGACTTACTGTTTTCGCAAACCAAATGATCAAAACTAGGAAGAGTAGGACATTCATTGGGGGGGGGGGGGGGGAAAAGTTTTTTCCCCCC